AATTGCACTGCTATGAACATTGGGGTGTATAGGTTCTTTCAAATTGGTGTTTTGGGTTGCTTAGGGTATAATCCCAGCAGTGGAATTGCTGGGTCAAACGGCAGTTCCATTTTTAGCTTTTTGAGGAAATTCCAAACTGTTTTCCGCAGTGGCTGCCCCAGCCTGCATTCCCACCAACAGTTCACGAGGGTTCCCTTTTCTCCACAACCTTGCCAGAACTTGTTGTTTGTTGATCTGTTTATGATGGCCATTCTGACTGGTGTGAAGGGATACCTCATTGTGGTTTTAATTTGCATTTCTCTGATGGCTAGTGATGCTGAGCATCTTTTCGTATGTCTCTGGGCCCTCTGTATGTCCTCCTTGGAGAAGTGTCTGTTTGGGTCCTTTGCCCATTTTTTAAGTGGATTGTTTGTCTTCCTGGACTGTAGTCATGTGAGATCTTTATATATTTTGGAGATCAAGTCCTTGTCCAAGGGCATATATCATTGGCAAATATATTTTCCTATATGGTTGATTCCCTTTTCATTTTGCTGATGTTTTCTTTAGCCATGAAGAAGCTTCTTATTTTGATGAAGTCCCATTTGTATATTCTTTCCTTTATGTCCCTTGCTCTAGGAGACATATCAGTGAAAATATTGCTGCATGGAATATCTGAGATTTTCCTGCCTATGTTCTTTTCTATGACTTTTATGGTGTCGTGACTTATATTGAAGTCTTTTATCCATCTTGAGTTTATTTTCGTGTATGGTGCAAGTTGATGGCTGAATTTCATTTTTTTTTTTTTTTTTTTGCATGTAGCTGTCCAGATCTCCCAACACCATTTGTTAAAGAGAGGCTATTTTTACTTCATTTTATGCTTCTGCCCCCTTTGTCAAATACTAATTGACCATAGGGACATGGGTTTACTTCTGGGCTCTCTATTCTGTTCCATCGATCTATGTGTCTGTTCTTATGCCAGTACCAGACTGTTTTGTAATATAGTTTGATGTCAGGTATTGTGATCCCTGCTACTTTGTTCTTTCTCAAAATTGCTGCAGCTATTTGGGGTTGTTTATGGTTCCACATAAATTTTTGAAATGTTTGTTCTATATCTGTGAAATACATCATTGGTGTTTTAATAGGGATTGCGTTGAATCTATAAATTGCTTTGGGTTGTATGGATATTTTGATGATGTTAATCCTTCCAATCTATGAACATGGAATATGCTTCCATTTATTTTTGTCTTCTTTAATGTCTTTCTTCAGTGTTACATAGTTTTCTGAGTACAGGCCTTTTACTTCCTTGGTTAAATTTATTCCTAGGTACTTTATTTTTCTTGTTGCTATAGCAAATGGGATTATTTTCTTGATTTCTGATTCTAATATTTCATTGTTGTACAAAAATGCCTTCGATTTCTGTGTTATCCTGCCATTTTGCCAAATTCACTTATTAGGTCAAGCAGTTTTTTGGTGGAGTCTATAGGGTTTTCTATGTACACTATCATGTCATCTGCAAACAATGACAGTTTTATTTCCTCCTTTCCAATTTGTATGCCTTTTATTTCTTTTTCTTGTCTGATCACTAAGGCTCAGACTTCCAATACTATGTTGAATAGAAGTGGTGAAAGCAGACATCCTTGTCTTGTTCCTGATCTTAGTGGGAAAGCTTTTAGTTTTTGCCAGTTGAGTATGATGTTGGCTGTAGGTTTTTCATATATGGCCTTTATTATGTTGAGGTATGCCCCCTTTATTCCCACTTTACTGAGTGTTTTTATCATAAATGGATACTTTACCTGATCAAATGCTTTTTCCCATCTATTGATATGATCATGTGATTTTTGTTTTTCCTTTTTATAAAAAATAATTTTTTATTTTTCAAATACAGTTGATGTACAATATTATGTTAATTTCAGGTGTACAACCCAGTGATTAGAAATTTACATAATCTATGAAATGATCACCCTGATAAATATAGTACCCATTTCACACCATACATATTTATTAGAATATTATTGACTATATTTCTTATGCTGTACTTAACATCCCTGTGACTATTTTGTAACTATCAGTTTTTGCTTCTTTTTTTTGCTTTGTGAATAATTTTTTTATTTTTAAATCGTTTATTCTATTACAGTTGTCTCAATTTTTCCCCCTTTGCCCTCCTCCGCCCATCTCACCTCTTGCTCCCACAGACAGTTCCCACACTGTTGTCAATGTCCATGGGTCATTCACACATGTTCTTTGTTTAGCCCTTTCTCATTCTTTCCACCATTGTCCCCGTTCCCCATCCCCTCTGGTCACTTTCAGTCTGCTCCATGTTTCCATGCTTGTGGTTTATTTTGTTCATTAGTTTATTTTGTTGAATAGATTTCACTTTCAGGTGAGATCATATGGTTTTTGTCTTTTACCAACTGCTTATTTCACTTAGCATAATATTCTCCAGTTCCATCCATGTTGTCACAAAAGGTAGGCGTTCCTTCCTTTTTTTTTCATAAATGCAGACTGATTTTATATATTTATTTTTTTAATGTCAAAATCCATTATAAAATATTAAAAAATTTAAATACATTAAAAAGTCTCAGCAACTGAAACAACATGACACCAGCAGAGAAATAATCAAGTAGGTCAATGAAATAAAATGAGCATTCTAGAAACAAATGTATATATCTAATTAACATATGATTAAATTAATATTTCAAATCAATGGGAAAAAATAAGGCTTATTCAACAAAAAAGGTGCATGGACCACTTTTACTTGAAATAAAACAAATATAGAGCCCTATATCACACATTATACAAAAAATATTGAGGTGAGTTAAAAATCAATATGCAAAATCTAAGGAGTTTTAGGAGAAAATACGAAATAATATTTTTCTTACCTGAAGTAAAATATTCAAACCCAGAAGTTATAAAGTAAATATTGACAATATGACTATATTAAACATTTAAGACTATATAGTAATATACATATAAAATAAGTTAAAGGACAAGTAATAGAACAGGAAAGTATTTGCAACACATCTAAAAAAAGCATTAGTAGTTGTTTTCTTTTAGGGAAAACATTCTACAAACCTTTAATCAAAAAATGGATAAAGAATACCAAAAAGTCATTTAAAGTTTTTTAAAAATAATAGAAATAGGCAAGAAATATACAAAAATAGGTTTAGTTTCAACAAATAATAAAGTAACAATTAAAATAACACATCATTGTCACAATCAGATTAATAAGTATTAAAAATATTGGTAATATCAAGTATTGATGACTGTGAAAGAAACTGGGTATTAATAGACTCTTTGTCTTCTCAGAGCAGTCCCTTTAGCATATCTTGCAATGCTGGTTTGGTGGAGATATATTCTTTAGCCTTCTTTTGTCTGGGAAACTCCTTATTTCGCCTTCCATTTTAATTGAGAGCCTTGCCGGGTAGAGCAGTCTTGGTTGCAGGCCTTTGCTTTTCATTACTTGGAATATTTCTTGCCATTCCCTTCTGGCTTGCAGTGTTTCTGCTGAGAAGTCTGCTGCTGGCCTTATTGGGGGTCCCTTATATGTTACCGCCTCTTTCGTCCTTGTTTCCTTTAGGATTCTCTGTTTGTCTTTGATATTTGCCATTTAATTATGATGTGTCTTGGAGTGGGCCTCATCGGGTTCCTCTTAACTTGCGTGACTTTTTCTCTCAAAGTAGGGAAGTTTTCCATCACTACTTTTTCAAACAGGTTCTCTATCCCTTGCTCCTCCCCTTCTCCTTCTGATGTCTCTATTATATGGATATTATCATGTTTCAGGTTGTCCTACATTTCCCTAAATGCCTCTTCATTCTGTTTGAGTCTTTTTTCAGTTTCTTGCTCTTTCTGGGAGCTTTTTTCTACCTTGTCTTCCAGGTCGTTTATTCAATCCTCTGCTTCATCTAGCCTGCTTTTGATTCCTTCTACTGTGTTCTTCAGTTCAGAAATTGTATTCTTCATTTCCTGGTGTACCTTGTTGTTAGTTTCTATGTCTTTTTGATGCTGATGTAGTTTGCAGTAAGTTCCTCATAGTTTCCCTGTAGTTTTTGGTAATTCTCCCTAAGCTCGCTGAGCACATTGAGCTTTCTTATAACCATTGTTTTGAACTCAATATCTAATAGTTCACTTCACTCTATTTCATTTAGTTCTCTTTTTGGGGAATCCTCCTTTCCTTTCATTGAGAGTTGTTTCTTTGTCTTCCCCTTATTTGTGAGACTCTTCTTCTTCGCTTCTACTTCTTAAAATCATCTGTTTTGACTTCACACCTGACTTTATGGTGTGAACTCCTATGGTAGGAGACCTGTGAGATTCAGTGGTGCAGTCTCCCTGATCTCCTGAACTTGATGCTCTTTGGATGCTTTTTATGACATTTATGTTGGCTCTCTGGAAGTAGTTGGGTTTTGATTGTTGTTTGGTCATTCTTTGGTGGATCCTAACTGAGGGTCACTCTGTCCACCATGTCTAATGTTTTTTGTGCAGGTGCTGCTAGAACAAAGCCATAAAGCCCAAGAAACAAACCCACATCCACAAAAATAACTCCCCCTGCAATCCCACTATCAACAGCAAATGAACCAGTATTAATAAGGCTGTAAAGAGATTAAGGCTATTATAAGAAAGAGGAGAAATAAACTATTAGTATAAAATCCAATGACTTAATATGCACAAATTTGATGGACCTGAAATGAACTTTAAAAAGCTATGTAAGAAAGAAAGAATCACAAATCATGGAGAAGACCACAGAAGATTTTGTCTCAGTAGCCTCTAGTATTTACAGCTGTTTCTTCTTTCTGGATCCTCCTCTGGTGATGTCAGATGTTGACCCCGTCTGACCTTAGGCAGTCTGCTCAAGACTTCCAGGGATTTACTCTCTGTAGCTGTCTTTTTCAGTTGTTAATCTAGTCTCTCTGCACTCAGCAGTCAGGCTTAGGCACCAGAGAGCAGGGCAAAGTCCTTCTTGGGGGAGGGGCTATCGTGTCCTTTCACTTTGCTGCAGCTCAAGGGAGTGGTCTGTCTGAGCAAGATGGCTGCTGCCGCCTGGGTGGTGAGTCAGCACCAGGATCCTGCCAGCTATTCCCACAGGTCTTTCTCCAAAGCCTCCTTCCCCAGTCTCTCCTCAGGCGTCTCCAGCCCACTCTGCCCCAGCCTTTGCCAGAGACCAGGGTAAGTGGCTGCAAATAAAAATTTATGTGTTGGTCCTTTAAAAAGATTTCTGCATCTCCAGCCACCTGTCTCCGATAGAGAGTAACCCTGCCACTTTTTGCAGCTGGCTGATATCTGTGTACTTTTTGGGCTCTGTGCTGTAGTCTGGGGATCCCTGCTTATGGTTTAAACCCCTCTTCTCAGGGGGATCCGACTGGGCTTTTCAATATCCCTCTGGAGCTGCTGCCTGTAGGCGCCCAGCTAGCCTTCTCAAGTCTCACCACACTGCTTACCAGTTAGGTTGTGCTAAAGCTGATTCCTCTGTCTGTCAGAAGTTATAAGGCTACTCTGTCGCTATTGTTCAGTTGTTTGGTTCAGGTGATTTCTCCATAATTTAGTTGTAATTCCAGATTGGTCCAGGGATGAGGTCAGTGTTACTTCTATTCACTCCTCCGCCATCTTGCCCCCCTCTAAACTGCTGTATTTTGCCATGCATAACGTACACCCACATTCTGTGTGCATTATACACAGGATTATTATGCCCACTGTTGTACCCATGGTATGTAATCATTATACCCATGTATAATGCACATTCTTATTTTTTGCTCAAAAAAAAAGTGTGCATTATACTGGCAAAATATGGTACATGTGTATATGTATATAAAAATGTATATACACACAGTACTATTACTTGCAGAAGTTTGAGACCATAATGAGTAAGTTTATAATTTTGATATCATTTATTCATGACAATGGTGACTGATGTTTCCAATCTACCAATTTCCCATAATCAGTAAAATAAACAAAATAGGAAAACCCATGATGGAGCAGAAATACATCCCTCCAGACCCTTCTTTTGTGGTTTTGATCATGGTCACCTTTTAGGTGAAAAGCAAAAACAAACCTCTTGATGGTGAATATTATTAGGTACCGGGAGGGGATATGTTAGAGGATGCAATAGAACCTTCACTGAAGGATGTACAAATTGGGTTGATGCTTTCTTAGATCTGCCTAAACCAGAAGGTGGCCCTAATTGGTATTTGAACGATTTAGGTTGAGTGGCTGCCTCCTAAATTAATAATATCCACAGATTTCTATGGTAAGAGTTTTTCCCAAAGTTAGAGGTGTTTGCTATTTAATAATACAGGACTCCTACAGAAGGGAGCTGTTATTGATGGTAGGAGCGTGGTATTCCTAACATAAACACATTGATTTTGCCAAAATATACAAAACTCTAGTATGACTGAGGAGAAATTTCAGTTAAATGAGATCACCAGAATATACCTTTGGCATGCAGTCCACAACCAGATTTAAATCCCATCTTTGTCTGTTAGAGTCATGAGATCCTGGGCAAGTCAAGCCCATCTATTTGAGCCTCAATTTCATTATTTGAAAAAAAGGTCTCACCATCTTCCCCACCTATTGTATAGAGTTGTTATAAAGGCCAAGTCAAGTCAAATAATATGTGTAAAAGTACATTGTAAAGACCTTTTAAGTAAGTGAAGATTATTTTGCAATTAAGCAGGGTTATTCTCTAAGTTGTCTTTAAGATCTCAGACTCTGTGTGTTATATGACTACGTACTTTGGAGGCTCTAAATACATTTAAGTAAATTTTGTGTAAAATAAGGCTTATTTAAACAAAGTATCAAAGAAAAATATTCAAGAGTATAGAGTTAGTTCTGGTCTGTTTTCTAACACCAGTTATTCTCGCTGTTTGAAAACAGGTAGGCAAGATACAGAAACCAAATGGATAAAAAGTAAATGAGCTTAGAGAAAAATAGGGCAAAACATAAATCTGGTTGAGCCTGCCCCTTGAAAAAACTTAGTTTACTACAGGGAGACAAGAAAACAAAAATTAACTTTTAACATAAAAAGTACGTCATTTATTTTACAACCATTCAAGGTGGTAATGATAGGAAACCTTGGAATTTAAGGTTCATCAGGAAATAGCTTTCTCCAGCTGCATCCAAACCAGCTTGCTGAAGTCTATCGAGTACTTGGACCACAAACAAAAATATTTTCTTTTTGAAATGTTAATGGCAAGCATGTGGGAATTCACATTTAGTGACTTGCAGTTTATATATAAAATAAGGAAAGCTTTGCTGAGGCAGCTGGACTGAACACTTCAAAAATAAAATGTCATGAAAACCAGGAAAAGAGAACAATTTTGGATCAGATAAAACATATTAACCAAATGAAACACAACCACTAAATGCAATGTTGTAAACCTTGATTGGATTCTGGATTGAGGAATAAACAAAGTAGACACTTTGCGGGAGCAATTGGGAAAATCTAAATATGGTCTGTACATTAAATGATGTATTGAACGAATGTTAATTCACTTCCATTGATAGTGACTTCATGGTTATTCAGGAGAGCATTTTTTAGGAGATGCCTGTTGGTGTAGTTAGGGAATGAAGCATCAATATCTGTCCTTTCAAATGGTTAAAAAAATTATTTTTTGCATAAAGTACATGTAGCAAGATGTACAGTTCTGAACGTAGGTGGAGTACATGGATAATTGTTATACTAGTTTTAAAACTCTTCGGAAGTTTTGTTAAAAAAAAAGTTGGGCCCTGGCTAGTATGGCTTAGTGGATTGAGAGCAGGCCTGAGAACCAAAGGGTCACTGGTTCAATTCCAGTCAGGGCACATGCCTGGGTCATGGGCCAGGTCTCCAGCTGGGGGCATATGAGAGGCAACCACACATTAACATTTCTTTCTCCCTCCCTTCCCGTCTCTCTAAAAATAAATAAAATCCTTTTTAAAGAAGTTGAAAAAAAGAAACCATTACTTCTTTTCTGACTGGAAATCACTTAAAAAGTGAAAATGAGAATAAAAACAAAACCAATTCCATTTGCAGAAACTAGGGGAGATCGGAAGCCCTAGGCCCAACAGGCAGAAAATGGCCCGAAGTATCAGATTGCTCAGAGAGGCTTGCAGGAGGGCATGGAGAAGTTGCTGCAGTAGAGTGGGATTCGCTGGCTGCAACACAACCAACAAAATACATGCAGGACAATCACCCTCCTCAGAGCAAAGGGGCACACTCTGAAGTGTGTATCTTCAATCCTTTATTTACAACAGAAGGAATGGAGATCCTAGCTGGACGCAGGCTCTCTCTTCCTGACCCTGGTTTGGTTCTGAGAAGAGTCAGAACACACAGGCAGGGAATATTTTGTAAGAAGTGATCTGTCTCTAGGAGAGTAGAGTGCCAGAGTCTTTTTGATGGGTGTGGCGGCAGCGGGGGGTGGGGGGTGGGTAGGGGGTGGTGGGTATATCCTACAGTTGCAAATCCTGCCAAGATGTAAAGGTTAGGATATAAGATTAATTTCATTTGTCTTAGACACTATCCTGGCTCCTTTACTAAATAAGCTCCCCACAAATTTTGGACAAAAGCTCAAAATTAGAGTGAAGACAAAGCAAAAGCCCAGGGCATACCAGGGGGGAACCCCCCCCCCCAAAAAAACCAGTTAAACAAATGTCAGACCTCTCACCTGAAAAAAAAACACACAACAAAACCCAAGTAAACACTGTTACTGAGCATATGAAAACTTTCTCTAAGAAATGAATTTGTTCATTTATTTAATCCACAGAAACCGTAAGTGCCTATTGTTTTAAGCAATACTGAACACTGTGCCATCCTAATGCCCTGGTGTCTTCCTTTTCTTCTTTATTTAATCATATTATGCTACAATTATTATCTGTTTCTGACTCTGCCACTGCCTGGAATATAACAGGCAGTCATGTTTATTGACCTGAACTGTGGACTTTTATCTTCTCCTTAAAGTATAACGTAATTTAACAAATCCTGGTCATTCCAATACACTTTTTTTTTCAAGAGTTTCCCTCCATTTCTAGGGAACATATTACATTTTTCTACTTCTACTCAAGCCTTCTTCATTTACACATAGGGCAATGAATGACTTACTGTGCAAGTTCTCATGCCAAGTTATATTTATGAAACTTTAATGATCAGTACCTCCATCCATACAGCTCCTGTACCCTCCCCCTACCCACCCAACTGGGGATTGAACCTGCAACCTAGGTATGTGCCCTGATCGGGAATTGAACCTACAACCTTTTGCTGTATAGGATGATGTTTCAACTAAGCCACCCGGCAGGGCATACCTTTCTTACCCACATAATTTTGCCAACTAAATACAATGAAAGATTTTCATATTAGAAAAAACCCTAGAGTTAAAAAGCAAAACTATGCATAACAGATTGCCCATCATAGGTTTTGTATGTGTGAGTAATCAAGATATTTTAGACTGTTTTGAAGTTGTAGTAAGAACTGAGGTGAATGTCAGTTCAAACATGCATACCTGCTTCAGTTAGTCATTTGAACCCTCAGAACACTTTAATGTATACAAATGTAGAAATGCAGTGCTGAATACAATGAACATTTCTAGTGACTTAGAATCACATTACTGAAGAGAAACAAGCACAGAAAAAGTGTTATTTAATGTTATTTTGTGATGACTGTTATTCTCTTTAGATAAACCTAAATAAAAGGACTTCTCTGTTAAAAAATTAAATGAAATACCATCCAAATTATTTAAAGGGGCAATGATTATGTACATTTAAAATTTATTTTCAAAAGAATAGGTAAAGTATCTAAAAAGGTAGAATGGGCACAACTTATTAAAAAAATCCATGTATAATAATATAAATGAATTGGGCAGTGAGGAAAGTGTATATAGAAATGATTTCCAATGCATTAGCAGGGATTTACTTAACTCTATGCCTGCACAGTTCGACACGAGCTCGGTTTTTGGATCTAGAGCAAGAAAATGAAAATGACAGTGGCACATCCTTGACAATTTTCATAGTGTTGACATCCTGTTCTGGTTCCTGGTACAGGGAGGAAACAAAACACTAACAAAAGGTACTGTTTGTTTCAGTGTGTCTGCATAAGACAGTATTTTCATATTTCAGATTAAAAATTTCCCCCTAAAAACTTTGTTTCTCATTTCTCCAAGGAACTCCCACATACCAGATTCTGGTGAAATCATAATTTA